GACTCTCCGTCATACTCCTTGGATGGCATCTTTAAGCCCATCTCCGACAGTCTCCTGTCACCTTTTCCAAATGGCATATGTAATCCCATTCCCAATATTATTCACCAGCAGTATCACTTTAGACGAGTGCAAATTTCTGGGCACTCTAGTGTTCAATCATCTTCCACATTTAGATCACGAAAGGCAGACAAGCCAATCCATATCTTCAGGTTTAAGAAGGTTGAACAGGGGCAACCGTTATGCCCTAAAATTTTCCCTCTCATGTTTTCCAAGGTCTTCCCCTACATGGTTAGTCACAAACCCTTGCCTACGGAAAAGGAAAATTTGTGAGTAGTGTTTTCAAGTTTCCTTCGATTGGCATCTCCAAAATGCCCTTCGATTGGCATTTCAGCAAAGCCTTTTAATTGGCCTTGCAACAGGATCCTTCGATTGGCATCTCAACAAAGCCTTTCAATTGGCCTTGCAACAAGATCCTTCGATTGGCATTCTCAGAGGTTCCTTCGATTGGAGCATCAGAGCTTCTTTCGATTAGAGTATCAGAGGTTCCTTAGATTGGAGCATCAAAGCTTCCTTCGATTGGAGCATCAAAGCTTCCTTCGATTTGGAGCATCAGATTCCATTCGAAGGAGCTTCATCAGAGCCATTCGAAGAAGTTTGAAAAGGTCCATTCTAAGGAGGCCATCAGCCCATTGGAAGGAGGGCATTCGAAGGCCAATTACATATCATTCAAAATTCAAAAAAGGAGACAAGATCCCTTAACTTTGGCCAAGGTTACATTTTACATTCATGGCATTCAAATGGCCGTTACTAGCATTATTTCTCTTGTCCCCTCACACTCCTATAAATATGAAGCCAAGGACACATTACAACAAAAAAAAGGAGGAAAAAAGAAAAACAGTGGAGAGAGGCTGCCCACAAAATCCATCAAAGGTTGCCAGGATTTTCCAAGCAAAAAGCTATCCTTCAACCAAAGCAGCCACGCCCAGAAGCCCCAAATCGAAGGTGCTCACCTCCAGCAAGCGCCCAAATCGAAGACTCGATCTGCTGGTAAGGAAGGGAAAATTGTCCAACTTTACATTTGCATAACACATCATTACTTGTTGTTACCTTCGATTTTCCATCCTATATAGGATCAAATGGCATGGGTTTGGCACCCAGGTCATGTTCTTCGTTTGCTAACATTTTCTGCAGACATAGCCTGAGAAGACCCAGCAAGCGCAGGATCGAAGTACCTAGGTTTCGATACTCAGGTCCTGTATTTCGTTTCACTAATGTACTTCTGTAGGGACAACATTCCAAATCGAAGGAGATACCTTTTCTAGATCGAAGCCATAGCCTTCTGGATCGAAGAAGACATCCCTTTCCCTGGATCGAAGGCTAGTCACGCTTACTCCTTAGCCCAACCGAAAGAAGGCATTTCTTCTGAATCGAAAGGGCCACATCTCTTCCCCTTTGGATCGAATACCCCATTCTTCACCTCAATTGAAGGATGCCTTTTGTACTCTCATTTTCCTTTTGTTTATTTTCTTTATTTTTTTAGTGGACTTTTTATCCTTTTAATTAACATTAAAATCAAAATCACAAAAATATTAGGCTAGTTATTTTTTTCCAACTAAATTAATTTTGTAAATAAATTAATTAATTTAATATTTTTTCTTAAAATTAAAAATTAAATAGACTTAGGCCGTATTTTCTTTTATATCAAGAACAACAAAAAGATTTCTTTTCTTTAGGATTTTTTTTAGACGTCTTTTATATTTCATGCGCGTTTATTTATTTCCGATATTTTACTATTATTGTATCTGCCAACCGGATGTAATAGATAAAATTAGGATATTTACTGCTTTATCTCTTTATCCTTGTATAATGTAAATCCCCTCCCCGAAGCATTGTAATAGCGTAGGACCTCTATTTTATGCATTTTACTGCTTTTCATATTAACTGCTAGTAATTAGGCTTGTATGATAAGACTAATAATCAAACGCTAGCAAACTTAACAAAAAGATAAAAGATAACTGAACACAGCACAATTGCACACAAGCACCTCTAAGGTACGCCCACTTCGGTTGCCTTCAATAAAACAGTCATGAGGCAGAAATGCTTTAGCAAAAACCCGTAAAATCAAAAGATCATAGTCCCTCGATGACCCTACGATTGTCTTCTTGGTAAATGATTTAGTCCCTCAAACAGAATTGCTAAAGCATCTCCGTAATTGCCTTCGTGACTGTAGCATCCCTTCGATTGTCCCTCAATATTCAACGATAAGGCTACCTACTCACTAATAGTAGGATAGCGTTATCTAAAGGAAAAGAGGAAAATAACGATCCTTTTCGAGTACAAAAAGTAGATAGCTGTTAGAAGTTTGCTCAAACTATTTTTGCACTTACACACAAAAAGCTACTTTTCAAAAACAATTTCAAAACATTTGCTTTGTTAACATTCTTGAGGACCGATACAAGAATTAAATACAAAGCAAATCGCTGCACTAAGGCATTTTAAAAACATTTTCAAACACACAAAGCACAAAAGCATTTTAAAAAAGAGCAAACCTCTAAGAGCCCACGGAAAACCATGGATGGAAAAGGTGTTAACACATTCCCTTTCCATAATCTATCCCCTTACTCAGAAATATCTCGAAAAGGTCTTTTTCTGTTCTTTTTACCCTTTCCTTTGTTGGATAAAAGAAAAGATGGTGGCGACTCTTACTTACCGCACATTTGCAAACAAAGAACGCAAAAAACAGCATATTAAACAGTCGGTTCTACCACCGTAAAACACCTATCCTTCGAACTCAGGTTCCTTCCATCCTTCAAATTCAAGAATATTCAGGGCAGCAACTCAAAGTTCAAAACATCAACTCCAGATTCAAGGTAAGTCTTCCTGACTTTAAACCCTTTATTTCAAGCATAACATGTAAATAACCATTGCCTTCGAAGCTAACCTTTCGTTTATCTTCCTTTCTTGTCAATTATATGTTAAGAACTAACCTGTACAAACCATAAAACAATGTTGGAGTAAAAATGACAACATGGTTCAACACAAAGCCTTAGGCTTCGAACACACTGCTTCACAGTCCCAAACGAAAGAAAACAAAAAAGGTGTGAATCGAAGGGTGTATGTTTTGATACACACTGATTTGCAGGCCCAAACAAAAGAAAGCAAAAGGGGTGTGTGAATCAAAGGACATATGCTTCGAACATACTGCATGAATCGAAAGACTTATTTTTCTCTCTTTTGTACTGTTTTTGTTTTTACATTTTTCTTGCTATTCAATATGGTTTTAATAATTAGGACTTTTATTGCTTTCCACTCCCCATTTGTGAATTTATATACCCCATCCCCAAAATATGTAATGGCGTAGGACATTTATTTTCTGCAATTTACCGTTTTTTTTAATATAAAATGCTAGTAATTAGAGTGTGTATGACAAGATTTAAAATCAACAAGTAGACAATCCTAATTCAAGACTAAAATGCATGCAATCAAACACATTATTCACACACGTGCACCTCTAGGGTAACCTCTCTTGTTGCCTCAGAAAATAGTCATGTCCCTCAAATATGAGCATTTTAGCAAAGACCCTCGATAAAAAAGATCATAGTCCCTCAACGTCCCTCGATGTTGCCTTCGGTAAATGATCTAGTCCTTTACGAAAATTGCTAAAACGTCTCATAAGTTTCCTTCTATGATTATACGATTGACTCACGTCCGTCCCTTCACATCCAACGATGGGGCTTCTTACCAAATCAATGATAAGATAACAACATCTAAAGGAGGAGGAAAAGAACATAGACCTTTTGAGTAGGTATGACGCTCGTAGTTGCTTGCTCACAAATTAAAACTATTTCCACACTTACACTTTCAAAACATCTTCAAAAAATATCTCTTTGAACTATTTTTCAAAATCAACACTTTGTACGCATTCTTATAGAGACAATAATCATTACAAAGTTTGCCGAAACAAAAGCGTTTTTAAAATACTTTCAAAACCCACCACAAAACACATTTCATACAAAGTAATTTCAAAAGTGATCTAGCAAGCAACTAAGAGCCCATAGATAATTATGGATGAAAAGGGTGCTAACACCTTCCCTTTTCATAACATATCCCCCGAATTCAAGAAAATATCTCAAAGGTCTTTCTTGTTCTTTTCACCCTTTCTTTTATTGGATAAAAGAAAAGTCGGTGGCGACTCTTACTATCTGCAACATTTGCGATCAAACGCAAAATACCCAAGTCAGTTCTCCCACCATATCACATTGACGTTTATGAGTTTGTAACCTCACCACATTTGCCTTATTAGCCCATGCATATGCCTTTTCTAAGATTTCCCACACTTTCTTTGTCGACTCGCAATCACCAACTTTCTAAAAGTTGTCACCATTAACACATTGATGAATCAATAACAAAGTTTTTTAATATTTCTTCTTTTCTTCCTTGTACATAGCCTTTTGTGCATCTGTTGCACCTTCGACAAGAGGATTCACCCCATTATTGATCACTTCAAGAATATCTTGGTAGCCAAACAACACCTTCATTTGCTTGTGCCATTTGTCGCAATTCTTCGCTTCAAGGAGAGGTAGGTTTGTAGGGACTCTATTATTGGAGACAGAATTCATGTTGTACAACATAGGTTTATGGATCAGAACCATATTTTTGATGCCAAATATTTGAACATACGATCACATAATTGGTGAACAATAAAAGGTTTATAGTATGTGGAGAAGAAGATAGTTAGGGAGAAGAGAAAATTAGAGAGTGAGATGATTGAGGGTGAGAATGAAGAATTTTATTAACTTGAGATGATGATGCCTCTAAAACATTTATAGAAATGTTACAAAATAATTGAGACTTAAAACACATCAACAAATTAAAAAAAAAACTAAAAATAAATAAATAAACCATTGGGAAGTTGCCTTTTTTGAAGAGCGAACCGTTGGATTTCAATGAATGCGTTTTCCTTATTGATTGCAGTGCAAATTTCAAAATGAGAAACCCAAATGCTCTCGTTTTGTTCCTCACCCTTTCTTCTCCCAAACCCTAGAATTCAAAATCTCAAAAACTCAAACTTTCATCCCCAAATCCCATCATCATCATCATCATCATCTCCAATGTCTTCTTGGTCATGCCACAAATGCACTTTCCTCAATCCTCCTTGTCAAATTTCCGAATGCCAAATCTGTTCATCTTCACCCCCACCTCCATCTCCACCTCCATCTTCTTCTTCTTCAACTTCCCCTAAATGGTCCTGCAAATCATGCACTCTCTTCAACTCTTACAAAAACTCCACTTGCCACCTGTGCGGTACTCGAAGCCACGCTCTTTCCGTTTCCACTTTTCACGATTTGACTGAAATCGAACACGATGATTCCGTTGGCTCTGTTTTCTTGCCTCTTCGATCTTGCAAAAGGAAAGCCACCGATTCCTCTCAAGATTCTGTTCAACAACCAGATTCTAAGCGTTCCATTAACCGCGTTGATCTCACTGGTGTGTTTTTTTATTAATTTTTACTCTCTGCATTTTATCTATGAAGCACCAACACCTAATTTGAAGAATTTTACATTAACTACTTGAGAAATACTCTGCAGAGAAAGATGATTCTGGGAAAGGGTTTAGTTCGTTGAAGATTTTGAGTTACAATGTTTGGTTCCGTGAAGACTTGGAGTTGCACAAGAGGATGAAAGCTATTGGTGACCTTGTTCAGTTGCATTCCCCTGATTTTATCTGTTTTCAGGTTTCATTTTCACACTGATTTTGTTTATTTACAATACGCTTTTTGTATTTGTGTGGTTTTTGTTTGATTTTGTCGACTTGTGTTCTAGGAGGTTATTCCTGATATATATGACATTTTCAAGCGATCCTCTTGGTGGAATGTTTATCATTGTTCAGTTTCTTCTGAGAAGGCTCATTCAAGATCCTACTTTTGTATGCTGGTAAATTTCGTAACCTTTGTTTCCATTTGAACTCGTGTTTCGTAACCTTTGTAATCAGCCTCATAATATGATGATCATAGTCAACGGTTTAAAAAACGGTCTGTTATTGCAAAAACTACCGCGACAAAACAGTATCGGAAGGTGCCGATACTGATACTGTTATTCACCTTTTGGTTAATTCACACCGTGACAACCACAATCAGGATCACGAAAGCCTCTACTCAACTGCTACCGTTATTTGTATTCTTGATCATAGTTTTGATAATATGATTGATACTGGAGTTATATTGTCTGCTAGCATAAAATCTGTTCAGAAGAGAACCATACATGTTCTTTGCTAAGACTATTGTATGCTTATGTTACACCGTGACGACCGTAATCAGTATCACAACACTTGTACCGTCTGAAATCGCAAAAGCCTTTATGTGACCGCGAACACTATTTAAAACATTGATCATAGTTTTGATAATATGATTGATACCAGTTATATTGTCTGCTAGCACGAAATCAAACATGTTAAGACTATTGTATTATGTTAAGTCTATTGTCTGCTAGTTCATTCTGTTTCTCTTGAAGTATCTTTTTGAATAAACGGGGAGTATAAACACCTATTATTGAACTTTTTATCTGATAAGAAGGGAGTTATATGTACTGAAATATCTGTCAAATAAATTTCAGTTAAGCAAACTACCTGTGAAATCTTTCTCCACCAAATCATTTAGCAACTCTATAATGGGAAGAGAACTTTGCATTGCTGAAGTGGAGGATATGAGCGGCAAGTCCTTGGTTGTAGCCACCAGCCATCTAGAAAGTCCCAGTCCAGCCCCTCCTAAATGGGATCAGATGTTCACCAAGGAACGAGTGGAGCAAGCTAATGAGGCTCTGGACATTCTCAAGAGGTACCCTAATGTTGTTTTTGGAGGTGACATGAACTGGGATGAAAAAAAGGATGGTCAATATCCTTTACAAGACGGGTGGGTTGATGCGTGGTCTGAGCTGAGACCAAATGAAACTGGTTGGACGTATGATACCAAGTCAAACCAGATGTTGACAGGCAATCGTAATCTCCAAAAACGATTAGATCGGTTTATTTGTCATTTACGTGATCTTAAGATAAGTAGTATTGACATGATTGGGATGGATGAAATACCTGGCGTATCACACATCAAAGAGAAGAAAGTGAGAAATGAGATCAAACAACTGGTACTCCCTGTTTTGCCCAGTGATCATTATGGTCTCCTTTTGACAATTTCTAGCAAGTAATTGCCCCTTGAGAAAATTCTAATGGTGTAACCCTTGTTAACAATGTGCTATTTTTGTATCTAAGACATTTACTACATGCATTTTTGTACCATGACAGCATGAAATATGTAAATGGGGGACAGGATTTGACTTTTCCCAGAACTTTTATCTACCGTACCTATCTTGTCTTGTGATTCCATTTTGAAAATATTTCATTAGATTTGTGTTTATTCTCATAGGCTTTGTGCTGTTCTCACTGGCAGACAATGCTTAATTCTTCACTACAAATGTGAGGTGTGTTTACCAATTATTATTTTGCCTGAATCTGTCCAAATAATAGAAGTCGTATCCAAAGTTTAGCTAAGTGGTCATTATGGTAATTAATAGTTAGTTATTAACTATCTTGAGCAAAACATGACTTCAAGTGAGTGCTTAAGATGAGTTCAAAAGGTAATTTTCATGCACATTTTGTCAATGTTGAATGGCAAAGTTTGGGATGGCTGGCAAAAAAAAATAATTCAAAGTGTTGTCTTTAATCCATCAAAGTGTAGATGATGCAAACTTTGATAATTTTTTTACTGCTGCCATACCAAACAAGCTTGGGATATCTTGGAGAAATATTATAATGGTGGCAGGAAGATGAAGAAATCGAAGTTACTAGCTTTGAGAAGGTAGTATAATACCAAAAATAATATGCTAAAAATGTATGATAAATATGAAACCTTGAATCAATTTTGCTTTCAATAAGTTTGTTTCTTGAGTTCCAGAGATCAATGCCCAAAAAAATGTGCGTAAAATCTGTTTGGCAGGAAAATAATCAAGAAAATTTTAGCCATTTTTAATATATTCACACGAACATCAAATTTGTTAAAAAAAAAAAAAAGAGAAACTAACCAACTTAAAATAATGGAATTAACGGTAAAGTAATAAGCAAGCATTTTGTCATCTGTGCCACAATGAAGTTATGTTAAATTATATAACTATTATATAATTTAAAACGGCTGCAACATGTTACAGATTTGTTTCCTAAACATAACTTGTAAATAGTATTCCATTCAATGCTACAAAGTAGAAAAGTCGTGTAACAAATATTTCAAGCTACAAAGATTTTATATATTAGATTAGATGTGAGCATCTTTTAAATATTCATTTAAATTCTACTGGTGTAAACTAAGTTTTCCTCTTCAAAGAATTTTCAAGGGATTAATAAATTTATTAGGATTATGGGCCTTGATATTGTTTTGTCAACGAAAAAATCCTTGTTGCTACCACCCTCATATTTTAAGAGAACGTCCCAAGGTGAAGGAAACAAATCTCCCAAGGTGAAGGAGAAGAAGAATAAATGTGGTATGAGGAGTAAATGCATATTATGTTTTAGGTATATAATAGTTGTTGTATAAAATAACATGTTTTCATTATGGCACAGATTGCAAAATGCTTGCTTATGATCATGGTAACTGTGGGTTCTATCCCCACCGGTAGCAAAATTTTTTTTTCTTCTTAATATTCTTGATCCAATTATGTATTGACATGTGGCACATAAAAATGATTCAATTTATTGATTATATTAAATAATATTTAAAAATTAATTGTTTTTTAATTTGACGTGATAAAATACATGATGTGACACTAAGTGGTATTGTCACATCAGTGTCACCTTTGCAAATTTGAAGGGGGACTAAAAAAATCCAAAAAATATTTAATATAAAGATCAAAAAACTGATTTTTTTAAAAAGGGGGTAAAACATTAGAAAAATCAAAGTAGAGGATCAAAAATATGTTTAAGTCATAACTTAATTATCTAATACTCCCATAAGCTAGATTATGAATACATACAAGACCAAACTTGGATAAAAAGGAGGAAAAAATTATGTTGAAAGAGGCTTGATGAGAACAACAACAAGTTGTTGAGACAAAGTTGAAATTGGAAACAACGACAAGGCAAGATTTCAGCTTTTGGTGGATGATGTGACAAACAATCTCGATGTGTTTGGAGTATTTGTGAAAGGTAGGATTGTGTGTTAAATATAAAGCGGAGCGGATGTCGTACTACACTTAAAGAGGAGTCGGGAAAACAGTGTGTAAATCCTCGAAATAAATAATGCAACCATTGGATCTCACATGTGAACTTGCATGAGCTCTATATTATACTTCTGAGCTTGAGCGAGTGATGGTGGTTTTCTTCTTTGATTTCCATGAAATTAATTATTTTCCAAGGAAGATGGCGTAATCAGTAACAAATCTGCATGTAGTGGACAAGTAGCCCAATCATTGTCTACAAAACAAGAAACCAATAAGTCAGAATCAGTTGGATAGAATAAGCCTTGAGCAAGACATGATTTTAAATATTGAATAATCCGCAAGGCGGCCTGAAAGTTAGTAATAATAGGTTGTGATACAAACGGACTAAGTTGCTGGACAACATATAAGATATAGGGGCGAGTAGTGGTCAAACAAATAAGTTGTCTTATGAGTCCACGATATTAGGTAGAATCATGGTAGAGAAGAGAAGTAGTCAGTGAATCTTTAAAGAAGGGTTATAAGGTGTAGTGGAAGGTTTTGTTGCTAACATACATGTAGTGTTTAGCAAAGCAAGCGTGTAATGACATTGATTTAATAAAATTCCAAATGACGATCTAGCAACTTCAAATCCACAGAAGTAACGAAGTGGACCCAAGTATTCAGTACAAAATTTGTTGTGAATAATAGCTTTGACATTATTTATCTCCATGTGATTGTTACCCACTAAGACTGTATCATCTATGTAAACTAACAATGTAGTAAAATCAATATCATAAGTTTTTGTAAATAAGGAACGACCAACATTAGAATGAACATAACCTAAAAAAATTAAAGAGTCGGGCAATTTAGAATATTGTTGTCTATTGGTCTGCTTGAGGCCATATATGCTTTTGTTAAGTTTACAAATCTTAATGTGTTAAGGCGAATGAGGTAGGTTATAACCTTTAAGGATGAACATATAAACTTCCTCATTTAAGTCCCCATGAAGGAAAGCATTGTTGACATCTAGTTGTTCTATATGCCAATGCTTAATAGATGTTATGGCAAGGAGTTTCCTTGTAATGGTCAGTTTAACAACATGAGATTGAAGGGTGAGAAAACACTTAGAATGGGGGGGGGGGGGGGGGTGAATAAGTTTTTCCTTTTTCCTCGCGCAATAATAATGGAAGGACACATGTAATTTTATCCTGATTCGTTTGAAACTCAAAATACTCCAGTCCACCCGCCAAGGTGGTTTCGCCGCTCTCAACAAGGACTTAATCTACTATAATCAAAACTGATTACAAATGCACAACCAAACTGTTGTGACTAATAATACAATGCACAAGCCAACTGCAAGTGACTAACATCTCTAAGACTCAACTTGTCCTAGCCCTCTTGAGAAATCTGACCCAACTGGTCTCTCAAGGAAAAATTACAAAGATTATCTCTTAACAGTAGTGAATCAGAATGCTTCCAATAAGCTATATCACAAACTGTGATTTATCACTAAGATTTTAGCCCAACACTTAAGAATTACCCACTATATACAAAGAGTTTACAAGAATGAAAATAGTGAGCTTCAATATATTTTGCGTGGATCAGTAACATAGCTTTGAAACAAATGTTCTTTTATATATAGCTTCAAATTTTGACTGTTACTACCTTGAAGAGAGAGTATGCATTAATGATGTGTGTTAGCTTGACCTTTATGTTTCCAATGCTCTCGGGCGTAGTACCACTTGAGTGTGTTAGCCGTCTTAGCATTAAATGATCAACGGTATTGTCAAAGCTTGTCTCTGGAAGTTTAAGAGTTTGCTTGCAGCGTTGCAACATCAGAGTTTGCTTTAAATTTTCTTCTATCATAGTTTGCTATATCACTCTTTCTGTCAGAGTTTTCTTCATTTTATGTTCATCAGAGTTTGCTTCAGCTTGCATTATCAGATATTGCTTTCAGCATGCTTCTTTCAAAATCTTTGCTTCAGCTAGCTTTATCAGAGGTTGCTTAAGATTACTTTTTATCAGAGTTTGCCTTAGAGTGCTTCCTTCAGAGTTTGCTTCAGACTCGCATTTACATAAAATTTCTTAGGAACTTCTTTATCCTTTTTCTGCTCAGCATAGAATGATGTTTCACTTTTGAGAATGCTTGAGTCAGAACATCATCTGAATTAGAAAACATGCACATTAGAGTATATAAAATATATTATACAAAATTTATTTCATTGTTATCATCAAAACTCTAAGATATGATTAGAACAAACTTTGTTCATAACAATCTCTCTCTTTTTGATGATGACAAAACAATTCAGATTTTGATTTTTAAATTTTTTTGTACAAGAGTGAGAATCTCCCCCTGAGATAAATATTTCTTCTTCTGAAATAAATAATAAAAGAACTTAAATGCATAGAGAGAAACTTCCTGAGATTGTTCTTCAGAGCTTTGGGACATTTTTCTTTCAAAGTTTCTTTAAGAGCTCCTGATCTTTTCTTCAGAGTTTCTTTAGCAGATCTTTACCAGATGATGTTTAGAGCTTAGTCTTTCAGAGTCTCGAGGTACTTGCATATCTCTTAAACAGGAAAAAACTTTGTATTTTGTTATGAATGTTTGAGATTTAGTCTCATAACTGCTATCATGGATCAGATCAAAATCATATTTTCTCCCCCTTTTTGTCATAATTAAAAAGCAAAAAAAAATTAAAGAGATTCAAAAGATTTTTTATATAGAAGATGTCAAGGACAAAAGTACAAAAAATGGGGAAAAAATAAAACTAAGATTGACGAGAGATAAGAGAAAGAAGAATATTCTTGATTTCTGTTGAGGATTCCTCTTGTTTTATCATCCAAGTTTTGATTTCTTTGTTGGTTTTATCCTGTTTGTCCAGACGTTCATGTCTGGCTTCATTTTCCTTCTTTAGCTTATTCAGAGTGTCAATCACCAGCGAATTTGGAGAAGATGTTGAAGCAGCTTCAGAAGATACAACTTTTGGAGAAAAACTAGCAAAGTCTGAGCCTACAACATT